ACGTTTCAGAAGTGGTTTTGTAACATCATCAGTGCTAATCCTTATGATTTTAGTCAATCGAAACAAAGTTATATTTGAGAAAAATTTATTACTATATTATTAGATAATGTACTAGTTTATGTTCAACCTAACATACCTACATTAAAATAATATATGTGAGTCGTTAATTGACGCAAGGTTTATTTCAATAACGATTACTACTGTGAAAAGAAACAAACTGTGGGTGGCTGAATGTTTGTTCTGCTGATGTTTCATTCGTTTTCGCTAATTTAATCACTTTGTGTCAACCTACGAGGACTATTGGCGACGATAAATCAACATTGTTATACGATCAATGAAATGTTAAACTAGAAAAATGTAGGATTCAAGTGTGAGGAAGAAAATGAAATGACCTCATACAAACTCTCAAGAATAACTTATCGAGGATTATAGGAACTATAAGTGCAAATGAGCTGAAAGTTTCAGGGATTGTAGTCCCTTGATTGGGATAAGATTTATTGAATGTTTCAGCTTTCTATCTATCATGGAAAAAAAATTATGACCTTTCAAAGTTTTCCAAAATCTAAATCATAAGGTAGTTCTTACTAAAACGATGAAATTTCAATTTTTTTTTGTCGAGATTTTGTATCCTAATGGTCAATCAATATACCCCAAACTCCATACACTAAATTATTCTCAGATTTGAAGCCAAAATCTATGAAAAAAGGCACTCAGAAAAATTGAAAAATTGATAAACTACCCCAAATTGCTTAACACGATTTTATCTCAGGCGATTAAGTCCTATTATGCCTAAGATCAAGACTTTCATATAAAATGTAGAATGTTTTTCAACGATAGATGATAAATATAAAATAGATAGGTATTTGTGGGAACACATACATACTTAAATTCTCCTCAGCTCTCGATGTAAAATTAGCTTCTATCAAATTATCAAAGTCGTTCTCGTTCTACTACTATAATTTCTGATTAACGCCAAATTTTAAAACAGGAGGTTTTAATTGAGTCAAATAACATCATACAAACAAGTCAGCAATTGAGTTTTATTCGTTGAGATAAAATAATTAAAAATTCATTCGCCATAACAAATTAAGTAGAACTATAAAAACTTGAGCACCGCAGTGTCTAGTTGACGTAATTTCCTTACGAAATCTATGACTAATTTTGAATTGTTTTTCACAAAAGTTACCAGTGGGTTAAAGTAAAGGGCCAAGACAATAAGAGAACGTGCAAGGAAATCATAAAATTATTTTTTGGCAAAACGATTCGCAGAAACGGACAGTACCGTTGATTTTATAACCAGTATAAAACTGGTCATACATAGGTAGGTACTTCATTTTAATGTCCATTGTGTTTTATGAAACTGCAATTTGCAGGCTTATCATTATCATCAAGACCTCAAATTTAGTAAGATTTTTTATTATTTTCCAAATCAAGAGCCTTTTGGCACAATTACGTGAGTAATCAGAATTCGTGTAAACACTGACAAGCCATATGGTCGTGTTTTATCACTTTCGCGCTCGGCATTGGCATAGTTTCTGAGCCTATTTTTATCTTGTTCTCTATAGGTTTTTATTTAAGATTTTGTTTAGATTTGTTCCGATATTGCTCCGATAAAATTAGATTTGAATCGAGGATATTCGCGATTACGAAATATAATCAATCAAGAAATTTCCGCAAGTATAGTATACAACTGGTATTTTTGGAAAACTATTGGGTTTTTAGCATAGAGTAGTATCGAAAATTTCAGCACTCGTAGTTTTTAAATCAGTGTTCTAATGCGAAGTAAAAGTTTGTTTTATTTTATCAAATAATGAGTCACCTATATATAGGATTAATAATAATTTACTAAATAGTAAGCTAAATTAAAAATAAAGATTCTTATCCTATTTCAGTGGTAATTACATTTCACCGTCTGAGCAGTTGCTTATGTCAGCAAAATGCTATGTCAGCTAACTAATGATAAAATTGCATGGTCATATACTAATAAAATGTATCTATGAATACTATGTAGGTAATTTCATTTATATTCGAGTTTTTCCTTTGACAATGAAACAAAAATATCTAATACACAATATGGTCAATAAACTCTCGTAAATCTATTTTGCGTGATCCATTATTTACAAAGAGCTCTTCGTTTAATTGCCGACTGTTAATTAGAAGTAAACATCAGTTCGGTCGAAACCCAAAGAGGCTTTGGTATTTGCTGACATAAACTTCCTGGTATGTGTGATGCAGATGAGTGACGTTTCAGGAAGCCATTGAAATCTGGAAAATTTTACCAAAATTTACCCACAACAACTACTGAAAATATGTGTTGCCAACGTTAAACCGATCATAAAATCATCGAGCAATCACAATAATTTATCTTTCAAATTGCACTTAAAATGCATTTCTCTCTACGCAAATAGAATAATCGTTTATGTCCATTGCATATGGCTATTTGATACATTTTGCCTTTATTTATTTTAAATTGATGGTTTGTATAAATTAAAGTCAAGCGAAACAGATTGGATAAAAGTAGGGCAATATTGTACAAGGAAGGAGATTATCAATGTAGATAATAAACATGATGGAATATGAGAAGTAGGTTTGAGGATAAGGGAAGAAGGAAGAGATGAAGCACCAATTCAGTACCTATATGTTGAAGTTGCAATAACCGAAATAAAAAGGAAAAAAATAACAAATACCTAGGTATAAAGGTATATAAAGAGCTCCATACATTTATATGCTTTCAAAAAGCCTAATAGCAGAGCTTCATTGGCCTAGTAAAGTTAAAAGCCCAAAAGCAATAATTAGGAACTTAATACGTCCACGTGAACACAGCTCACATAAAGCGTTAATGTTAGGGTATAGACATTTACGTAACTACTTAACCTATTTATACAGGATAGAGGGTGTAACGTTAATAGTTATTAGTCAGTTTTTCCCGTTATTTCATATTTCACATTATATCTTCTACTAAAAATCGCTTTCAGTGTATTATTTGTCCATTAACTTCAAGAGGTTATGAACCCTCAGGTCAGCTGCAAACTGTAAGTGTATTTTCGATTTTGCTGAGAGTCATTCTTTGTATAATCTTGGACTAAATAGTAAAACTATGGCTGGAATACATACCCATATAGTACCAGTGTTAGAGGCAAACAATTTCAACAATTGGCAATTTAGAATGGTAATTCTGCTGAGAAGGGAAAACTGTCACGAGGCCATACAAAGCAATGAACCAAGTGAGAAGCTTCTAGTAACGAAAAAGAAGATTGGAGAAAAAAGGATTATAAAGCTCTATCAATTATAGTTCAAGGTGTGTCCGACAAACACCTACATTGTCCTGTTTGAGAAAACATTTAGATCTTAAAACTAACACAAATGAGAGGCTTGAAGACCATTTATTGACGTTTGATACCATATTTTTAGAGGGCTCAAAGAGCATGGATCTGATCTGAGTGAGAATAATAAAGTATGTCATTAATTATTGTCCTTGCCAGCTCAGTATGACACAGTAGTGACAGCTCTGAAGACCGTCGCAAATGTAAAGTTTGATTTATAGTAAAGGCTAGGCTGCTATGGACGAGGAAATAAAAATAAAATCAAAGAACGAAAAAAGCTATGACGATAGTGAATTAGGCTTAAATGTGAATACCCAAGTAAATACCAGAACATGTTTTGTATGTGGCAGCATTTTCAAACACCAGTATCCACAAAGAAAGGGAAATATTAGAGGCAGTGAAAATCACACAGTGAACTATAGAGAATTTAGAGATAATTACAGAGGCTGCCCTCATGAAAAATAGAAGGAGAATGAAGAAAGAAAGCATCAGGCAAACACAGCTGAAGAAGTGATGCTATATGCTGCAAACTATTGCAATGAAAATGACGGCAAATTGCGAGTTTTGTATTGGACTCAGGTGCAAGTAATCACTTTGTGCAGGAAAGTCTAGAAGCCAAAATGTTTGACATAAAGGAGCTACCAAACTATGTATCAATACATATAGCAAATGGAGAAATTCTTAGATCCAATAAGCACAATGCCATAAGTGGAAGAATTTTTACGTTACATTGTGAAGTCAAAAAGAAACTCTATATGTATAACAGTGGACAGATTAATTGAACCTTTTGCTTACCAGTGCCATATATAAGTGGATAAGGACTTATGGGTCATGCAGGTCATGACGTACTCATGCAGCTACTCGTGCAGCTAGGTTTATCAAAATCTGATAAAATATGCAGCAGTTGCATGCAAGGAAAGACAATAAGGTATCTATTTAATGAGAATAAGAGAACCTCGACTGCTATGGGAAATCTGGTACATAGCGATGTCTGCGGACCAATCAATCCAGCCACTATAGATGGTGGTAAGTACTTCCAAACTATATTAGATGATTTTTCACATTCTTTAGTGATCAAAATATTAAAAACTAAAGACGGAGTTAGCATGAATCTTATTTAATATGTAAAAGACCTCGAAACTTAGCACCAGGTTAAGGTCAAAGCATTTAGACTAGATAAGCCGAATATAGTCGAGCTGCCGAAAATGCACGAATTCTATTGATATGCAGGGACGATCCATGATCCAGCGTGGGGATCCTGCAGCGATTCAGGGAAATTGTTATCTGTCAACTGGTCCCATTCAAGCCTATGTGTGTAGTAGTCTAGTCCTGTCTGTATAATTAATTCTACTTCTGGTAATTTTTGGAGCCCGAGCCCCCATAGTAATTTTGAAATTCTGACTCAAATAATATTCTACAGATTCTGATGCATTATTTATATATTCTAAATCAGAATTAAACGCTCTTTGAAATAAAATAAAATTGAGTCATTCATCTAAAATAGTTTTCGAGATATTGAGTCTCAAAGTTGAAACTTTGGTTTAAATTTTGGAAAACCTTCAAAGCGGTGCCTCAAAAGCTAGAAAATTATAGTTCTGTATTGTTTTCCACTGCAATTCCTCAACATCTCCATAAATAGACCATAGAAAATCAGTTACTTTTTACGCGAAACTTCCCGGACGCATGATTAGACGCGTCTAGTTGAACGTCGCGACGCGGATGGGAAACATCGAAAATCCACCATCCGGGACGCGTCGGGATTTCCTTTTGACAAAAACTCGCGTGAAAGTTTCCCAATTTAAACCAATTTAAAAATACAAATGACAGGTGCGGACATCGATAAGTTTGTTTCGTGTTAAAATAGGAGACAACTAATTAGTTTTAAAGTTTTTTTGAAATATAGGGGCAATATGGTTGGATACTATAACAATCAAGGTACACAGGGTGTGTATATTTTTTTAACTAATTTTTGATGTTTTTGATTTTATTAATTCTGGTGTAAAATGTGCATATACTTACATATAGTTTTATAATACAAGAGTTTGTTGAAAATATATTCTTAAATTCCAAATTGAACTTGATCTTCCACCTAAATTACTTTAATTATCGCAATATAAAACGCAATTCCGGCTATTTTTAAATATGAATTAAAAATGCGACAATTAAAAAAATGACTAGACAAGGATGGGCACTTAAATAAGCGTATTAATTGGAGAAAATAATGAACATTTTGTTTACAATGTACTTAATCATATATTTTTATTGATGCCTTAAGATTATTCGAGCTTCAACTACATAAATCAGCCATCAAAGTTACCATTCTTTGATTGGACATTAATCATGGATTGTTAGAGGTTTCCATATTTTCTATTTACTCTTCATTTATACATTTTTTTCTAGGTGTTCCCACCTCAGCGGACCTGGAAAACAACACAAACCAAAAAAAGTACACCGTCAACCGACCGTCTGGTAGCAGCTTAGTGATATCTAAAGCCTTGTGTACACTGATGGCTATAGGTGCCCTTCTGCTGGCTGTTTTAGTAGGACTAGTTGTATTTTTCTTAGTTCCTAGAGGATGTAACGGCGAAGCATCCAGTCCGCTAGCGTCTTTAGTCCAACAAGAACAGCCTAGTTCCAAAAATGAAGTTAACGAAAGGCTTCCGAGAAGTATAAGACCTTTACAATACACGTAAGTTACTCAACTTTTGATTTTATATACATTCATTTGAAGATTTTCTTCTCTTATATTGCAAGGGGAAATTACAAGTCAAGTCCGATAAGAACATTTTCATAGGAAGTTTATATACTTATACTTTCGAATATGACCACTGGAAAAGTTTACTAGACTTGTAAACTACAATATTTTTATTTCATACCGTTTAGAAGCAAGAGGTAGAATTCTTCGAGAGACATGTTAATTTTGATGGAAACTGTATTTCATTTTGTACCTACAAGTACAATAAGGCACTTTCTAGTTTATCATCATTCCTACAAGGGATTTAAGTATTTACTTTCCACATCCTATAGTAGAAACGTTATGATCTTGTATTTACTGAACTTGTAATGTGAATATCTATGTATTTCTCAAATTACTATATACTGATATTATTTCAGCTATTATAAATCGACTACCATATCAGCCTCAAAAGGATTTTCTTCCCGATTTTTACTAAACTTCATTAATGAAAAACTTTTTTACTATAGTTCCTTAGTTAACTTTCAATTTTGTGTCATAATTAATCAATGATACCTACTTTAATAAAGAAACTAACCATTTCTCTTCATTATTTCACTATTGTCCATATTTTTATCCAGCAGGTGCGGTTTGAGTGGTATTTTAAAAAAGGTCAAGCTCAACGGCTTTGCCCTAGATAGCATTTAATTTATCCTGATATTTCCAGTTTTACGTCTAGGCAGGTTGGGCATGTTTAGCAGTAAAAATTATTTGTATCCAATCATTGATTTTAACAATCAATCAACAAAATTAAAAATATTTCTCTAGAATTCGAATATCATCAAATCAGGTCAAATATTCCTGAAGACAGACGTTTATTTAGAAAAAAAACCAAAGTGACTAATAATATGGCGTGACAGAATTGGGTTTATGGTTCACGCCTTCTCTCATTTTTCCTTCAGGAATATTAAATGCCTGCCTTTCAAAATTGATTGCCTCGATTTTTGTCTGATTGTTTTCCAGCTTGGCAGTCGATTAAATTTCATTTTATTTTTGTCTGTCACGAATTCAGATTTTTGCTTCGATTATCTCAGGAAAATTTTGGATTTTGTTGGTATTAGTGCGGTGAGGTAGCTGAACCAATGCCAACCAACTATCGAAGCACTGCCCTTCACATACACAAAGTTTCGTACAAGGTATTCCCATTTTAACACATTTACAAGATGTGCATCGCTTGCTACAGGCACAGGTGGTAGGTAAGTTATATACAGTGTTTTTTTCACACTTCTAGATTTATTGTCCACACAGGTTGGTATGATCCTCCTGAAATTAATATCCATTTCCAGTTAGTTGGCGAAGGTATTTTGTATTGTGAATCGAGGCTGTTGTTCCAGATTTTTGCTTGGAGAGCAGCTCGTTTGATGTGTTGGTGTAAAGCATCTGCTGTAGGAGGAATATTTTCAATTGCCCAAATTTCCGGTGAGAGGGTGGAACAAATCTTATGAATTGCAATTAATTTTCTGTATTTCCTACAACCATCCTCAATCCATAGTTCATCAATATCTTGTATTTGTGGGAACAGTGATATTGAAATAACCAACTACATCTGAGTCCACAGATCGAATTAAGACGCGAGTGTGCCCACTTTCTACTGCATGCTTAACATGGAAACGTAAACAGTCATCTGCTACTTCGTTTGAGGCGGGAGAAATGCTTAAAACATCCATAGTTGTTGACGTGAGGACTTGGTCATCATAAGTACAGACAACATGTTTTCTAGGATACTCGTCTCTCACCAGTCTAAGATTTTAATACTTATGCTACTTTTTCTACTTTCTGTTACTAACATGTCTGTCGAATACAATATCTATTCAGTTGATTTGTGAAATATGGTTTGAAAACATGTTCATAGTATCCGGAAAATGTGCTAGCATGCGCAGGATTAAGCATATGTATTACAGCTGCCCCATCAAATATTTTATCCGTTACATTCGGTTGGCTAGGATTCAAGCTAATGTCACATTTTGTTTGAATGCAGTCAATAAGACTTGTTGGTTGGTTTGCGGAGTTTTCCATTATCTAAAATAGATGGTGGGGTACATTTGGTTATCAGGCGAAAAAAATCATTAATGTTGCCATCTCGTTCTCCAGATGCGACATACAATCTTTACGCGAGTTAGCAATCTTTTACTTTGACTTATCTGTTTTTCTTTCTTGTAATAGTGTTGAAGATGTGAATATTGGTTCAAGGAATAATTTATTGAATTTTGAAATTGATCGAGACGGAACGAGACATATTCATCATACTGCTTCAGTCATAAAGTAAATACTTCCGTAACACACTTCACAGTTTCGACATTTGGAATTAGTTTGGAGCTCTCTATTGACACCAAATCGGTTTCTTCAAACGGATTTCCTTGTTGGATTGATGGCCGTTTGCACCGACCATTTTAAGAAAGCCTTAGCGATAAGTATTCCTCAAAGTGACATTTCTTGATGTAAAAATGTCATTTTAAGGAACATTTATCGCTAAGACATCAATAATTTTTTTGTAATTAGGCATTCCAACGATCTGTCAAAAAGTGCGTTGTGGCGGAAGTTCATTATCCCGTATATGAGAGTATGTAATTTAAAGCTTTTTGAAGTGCATTTTGTAGTTGTTTTGTGAATGAACTCTGTTTATTTTTTTATTTTATTGATTTCTTTAGTGTTTCTTCTAATTGAAAATGCCACAAACGTGTCTTGTAGTTGATTGTGGAAGTAGTTTCAACAAGGTAACAAGGATGATGTCAGGCTTTTTTCATTGCTCTTTGTTTTGAAATTTTCCAATTAAAACGTGAACATTTTTCACTACCACTGCTCCTGCATCTGAAATAAAGCCATTTTCGAAATATTCGTAAGAATCTAAGCTTTTGTTTTGCTGTGGATCAAAATGTCATCTGGACATTTTTTTAAACTAACCGTTCGCCCAGATCCCGATTTTCCTGTATTCAAGTCTTTAAATATTCACTCTGCATCTCAAAAAGTATATTATAACAAAATAAACTGTAATTAGCTTGAAAATATTCCAAATAAACTCAAGATAAACAAACAAACGTCAAATTTTCCACGGTCGCCATATTGAAAAAACACGTGGTTTGGAGAGCCTATAATTCAGTTACGAAATGGCATCGTTTTGACAGTGATTTCAGTTGTCAAAAGTGTCTGTGGTCCGAATATAACCAAACGTTAACCGAATTGGTTGACAGATGATTACTGATTAACTAAATTTCAGGAAACCGAGGTCCCAAAGTATAACCACTTTTCCAGGAACCAAAGTAATTTGATTAAAGTCTGTTTTTTTTTTTAAAGATAATTCCCCAAGTCAAAAATTTAGTAACTATGTTGGCAGCACAAGCCTTTTCTACATAAAAAATTTCAAAGCATTGACAATTTTACATTGTATTGCCAACACAATGTCATTTTGACTTTTATCTTTAGAAAAAAAACAGATTTTATTTATTATTATATTATTATATTCGGACCACAGCCTAAATTGAGCAATTTTTGACATCTGTCAAACTTGAATTTGATAAGTGGACGTCCAATGAATATGTAAAATAATAATAAATAAAAATAAAGTTTTAAGAATTTAATTAAATTTTTCATGTGGAATCGCCGTTACATACTCACAAGTGGAAATAAATATTGACATCTATGCCCTTTTTGCCATTGTAGGATATTGCCCGATATCAAACTTTTTTCCAGTTAACAGTAGAGTGCGCTCCATTTGATCAGTTAAGATCTGATAAAATTCATATTTCATGAATATTTGATATATGCTCCGTATATAGACTTTCACTCACCAGTCGGTAACAAGCGGTTGCGACGTTGGTTATTTTGGTGACAGATAAATTATCAGCTTCCAACAAAACCATGTTCCGTAAATTGACACTTTTTCAGGAACTGATATATTTTGGAACACCAAACCAAGAAGCTGGTTAAAATATTACATGTACAGAACATATATTTTTGATGTATAAATAAGCAGTGTGCTTTGTCATTTTACAACTTGTCACATAAATCATTGAATAAGGTTTGAGGGGAGATATAGAATGGTAACTCCCATGTTAAAAAAAGTTTATATATTTTGCGCCATCTATACGCATGGGTCAAAGTAAAATGATTTTGGCGGGATGTTTGAATTTGAACCTTTTTTGTGGATGATCTTATTAGGCCTTGATCTGATTTAACATTAGTTATTATATTTATTCCTCATTATTAGAATTAGTAGTACATTATATACCTAGGGACTAAAGTGGTACTTTTAAACCCGAGACAAAAAGTTTATAATTTGTCGAGGGATTAAAAAACACTTTTGTATTACTGGGTGTTTTTCTGGAAGGTTCTGTAGAGTGCGTACGGATACTGGCAACCAACGAGAATAGTGGACTGCGTCCGTCCAACGCAAATGTCCACCCACGGACATAAGTGGCCCAAGGTTTCGACATATGATGAAGTTAGATGTACGGATACTCAATACAAGGTGAACTAGAAGGGACTTTAGTTTAATAAATTTATTCCAATATTGAAACTAAGGGTATTCAGATGTTATCGAATGTAATACCACAAGAGGTTTCAGGATTACCGGATAATACTTTCTCCTGTCACGAAACGCGTTACGCAGCAACACCACGACTCCGAAGGAGGAGTGGTGTTGCTAGTAACGCGTTGAGTGTCAGGTAAAAGTATTAGGTAATCCTGAAACATCGAGTGGTATTCAAAAGGTTATACAACGAACTAAACTTTAACAGCTGTATGCAACATCCTCTTTTAACTTAAAAGCGCTTTTAAAAACTGGTACCTTTAAAAATTTGTATGGCTTAGAATACACATTTTTAAAAGTGACCAGTTTTAAAATGCGCTTTCAAGTTAAAAGAGGATGTTGCATACAGCTGTAATAGGTACTTTAAAATTTTAAAAAATGTCTATAATAGAATTTGCCATAAATGCCACCAAGCGCGATAATCCCACAAGGCTTATCACTTATTAAGCCTCTCGTGTCATATGGGAATAATGTACAGTGAGTTGTATAATCGACAAAATCCACAGTTCAATGACTTCTCTACTAATACTGGAATTTGTTTCACATGCTTTGTTGAATGCGTTTACCTGTAGACAATGCAAGGCAGTTAAAGTAACTTCGTGTGCATACCGAGATCTTTTTACATGCGACGATGTGAGGCAGGATTCCGCAACATTAGAACTTGCAATACCAGTGGTTGTAACTAATTCAGTCCATCCACTGCCAGTTAACCACCTGCTGAGTAAGTTAATGACCATCATTTCTATGTGAAGGCCACCCATCATAAATATGATGCGATACTTGTTAGAAAACTTCCATTACAGTTGCTTCCCAATAGTATATACTGGGGTTACATAATCACGGAAGCTTGATTTCCATTTAATTTTGCTGTAATCATTATAATGATATCCATCACATGCCGCAGCATTGCTGGCATCGCAATTTCTTCATAATCAACGGTTAAGCCAAGGATTTAAGACTTTCCTAGGAGTGAAGGCAGGATCATGGTCAGTGTAATGTGGATTGACAGTTGGCAAAGGTGGCTCACTTCTAACTTTACCAGTTGCAGGAAGAGAAGTGTAATATTCAGGGAGGCCATTGATAATTTGATTGTTTCACTGCTGAATACGCTGTCATCGTCAATCTCCATAACTGTGTCACTGTGAGGATGCTGAATAATCGTAACACTTGAATAATGGAATGAAGTAACATCAGTAGAAGAATATTGATTGTGATCAATGTTGTCTATTGCTAATGTTCAAAATACAGTGGCACACAACTTTGGTAGGTGAATAACGTCTTCCATATATTGTTTACACAATACATTCGTAACTGTGGCTGCTATTTCTTGCACTCGATTATATAGAACACTCAAACCCAGACGACACAGTCTATCTATCTTTTTCTGTTCAGTGACAGCGTAAATCATGAGTCTTAGATATAGTGGGAGTGGTGTTTCTCTCTCCAGAGAGTGACGTACACTCTGAAATTTTTTTTCTCTGGCATTCTTAATGCTCTTATATCTAAGTTGGGCAATTGACAATCCTGCATTAATTGCTGCAGGTGTTTCTGGCGCGACACCAGAGTCAATATTGGGACCCTCTAATAACATACTGTCCCTCGTTTTTAATCTGACACATTCTGTATGAGGGGGCAGGGGGTAAAGCATATGGCAAAAACAGGTGTGACGTCAGGTGAACATTGGCCTTTTAACGTAGGGAGCCACCACTTCAAGTTCCTTTGGAGAATCAAATTGAAATCGACGGACTGTACGTACAAAATTAATAAGAACGGCGGGTACAGATGCGGAAGCAGTAAATGCATTGTCAAAGGATCCTTGAAAAGGAAACTCTTGGAAAAGTTGTCTTCGTAACATACCTACGGCTCGTCCCAGACACATACCAACATCCCCTTCGAAACTTCAAATAATTTGATACCCAAACTCATCTGCTCTCAGAACAGGTACAAATCCTAGGACTTCAGACGTGTTCTATTGATATGCCCATGTCAGTTATGCGCTCAGACACTAATTTTGTAACATAAGAAAGTTTAAACACTGGAGAAGTACTGCTAGATGAGTATAAATCCTGCATTTATTGAACCAATTCCGTTATAACTGCACCATAAACAACTTCTTCAGGAATCAGGAATATAGTTTGTTTTTTTTTTTCATTCAGAACGTTCAGCAGCTCGTTAACGTGTTAGGAAGCGAGTATAGTTTGTGGTATTTGGCTTCTAATGCTACAAAATCTGTTGATGATAACTTCTTCAGCACTTTTTCATCTTGTAATTGTACAGCATGACTATGAATTTTAGGCCCGATATCCAGCGTGGATGCAGCCACAAGTTTGCCTTTACCTTCTCCTTCATCACAAAACAAACACACACACGTTTTTCACATCTGAACAAAATAATGATGATAATTTTGATGTAAAGTTTGGTCTGAGCTTTCGGTTTCCTTTCACCAAGATAGTCTTTTCGCCATTTGACTGTCATATTTGTTCTTGCAAGATTTGTGATATTCTGCTGCATGGGCTACTAGTGATTGTGAAAGACCACTCCCATTGTTCAACTGGTCCAAATTTCTTGTACCACTTGGCTTGCAAGCTCACCATGCTCAGCAAAAATTGCAAGATTCTTTGCCATGGTTAAATAACCTTCACGCTTCGGGAAAATCAAACACTCTTTTTAATGCTTCTGGAGACAGGTCCCATACAAATGGAACCACCACTAGTTCAGTCGTAGCATCAACGAATTCATGTTTCCTCTTTTTTGACATAGAATAGAATAGAATAGAGAAATACTTAATTGTCAAGAATATACAGGTTCTGTAGACAAAGCTTGATAGATCTTCAGCAACTTTTGGTTAGAAAATAGAGGTTCGGAAATTTTTTTCGCGCACAAAAAAGTATTGTCTGTCGTTTTTAATTTGACACTTTCCGTATGAGGAGCGAGGGGGTGAAACTTATGGCAAAAAAAGGTGTGACGTCAGGTGACCATTGGCGTTCTAATGTAGGGAGCCACCAGGTCAGCTCACATTCCTTTGAAATATCAGATTAAAATCGATGGACTTTATACGACACATTTTCAGTCAAATATAGGTAACGGATTCGAAGTTATTTAGCATAATGTTTCGTAAAAATGAAAATCAACAAGTTGCAAGTATTTCTGGTACTATGTACGTAAATAATGATATGCAATATGCCGTTGGAAAGCGCGTATCCTCTTGATTGATAATCACATTAATCACGAATAATATAGGTTGATATTAGAATATAAAATCGAGTTATATAGAGAAATGTAGAATCATATCACAGAAAAATTGACGGCCATATGGATTACGCCATCAACGCCGCTAGAGGGTCAAAAAAAATTGTGTCCAATGTGTCCCGGGATTTTTGGACTCGTTTACCGAACCCATATACTCCATCTTAACTCAAGGAGGTGCATTGGTTGCCAGATCTGAAACTTTTGTTACCTATCTCACCACACTATACATAATATAATAAATACTCATAGGACAAACAATTAAATTTGACTTAAGTTTTGTGAATAAGTCATGCGGTTTTTAACTTTCCAAAGTAGTCATCATTGTTTAAAATGTCATACATACTTTTATTATCCCAATATAAATTAAATTTCCCACACTCTGAATCACTTTTAGACAATGAGTTTTTGAAAAACAAACAAACCATCATACATTATAATAATTATTTGTTTATTTAATACACAGGGAGATACATTACTTAATGGACCAAAAAGCTCAATGAAAAAGATTTGAAAATAAAAATGACATACGTTTATAAATAATATCGTGTATACAGTTGCATAATGGCAATGTGCCATACCGGCTTTAAAAATAAATATTAGTTTGGAACAATTTTCCTTTTGATGTATGGAAATTATACTTAAGGGGAAAATTGATTTACACCGTGAAGGTACATACTATAGAAATTGAATTTTATAGTTCTGTAACTCAAAACATGCTTTTGAACAATTCTAATTTTAGATGGATGGCAGTAAATGTTTTGATTTATATTTCTTTAGTTGATTCACAGTTTATACGTATTTTTCGGAAATTGTGCCAATTTTTATTGTAAAACTGGGGATCCTTTGCCAATTTTGTTTGTCAATATTGCATTATGCAGGTGTTCAATCAGAATTCACCAGGAGCTCGTGAAAAACCTTATCACTGTTTAATTCTTAAACAAAGCATTGGTTTTTGATGCATTCTCAGAACATGACAAGAAAGTTCTATTTCTAAAGACAAAGTACCTTAAATGTTAAAGATTTTAGCTGAAGTTATTGAGGATAAGGCATCCCACTTTAATACAACTACCCGTTCAACGAATAAAATCACCACCAAAAATAGGTCAACTCCAAAACGCATTTTGATTGAAACAGTCTTTACCTATAAAAAGGAATTTTGCATTCTCTTTATGTTCAGATGCTTTGACAAGTGAAATATTGCCTTGTGATGAGTTTGGATTCATGTCAAAAGCTCATCTTAAAACAGACTTTGTAATAATAAAAACTGTCAGATTCATCCATAAAACCAATTTTCATTAGAATTTATTCCCAAAAATTTAAAACTATAAATTCTATATCGTTGGGATCACCTCACCTAATCCCACAGGAAATAAACTTCTCGGATTCAAATGTCTTGTTTATTTTGGCATATGATTTAATCTCCTATTTTCGAACATTCGGGCGTGAAAATTAGCATTTAATGTTGCCAACATTCGATAAAACATAATAATAGAAGCGTATTTGCATACTTGAGGTAATTGTTTAACATTCTTATTTGTAATATTAGACACTATTCACGGGCAGAGTTACTTAATTAGCTGATGAGCTTAATGAATGTAAAAATTTAACTTTTACACAAACAGAAATAGGTAAACTACCTAACATATTACTATTACCTTTTTTCATAATACCTATATGTATTAAATACCATAAAGATCATGGGTGCTATAACATTATTTGAACTTGAACCTACCATTATGGAATAAATCTTATTCTTTTTGAATAAGATAAGTTGTAATGGTAATTTAGTAAATAGGTATTGGTACCTTCTTGTTTCATAGTGTGAAAATTATAATCTCAACTGGGCTAAATAAGATCAAAACCTCGCATATTATCTGCAAATATTTGTACTAAGCTAATTTTAAACCTAGTTCAAGGAACTTTTTAGTTCGAACAAAATCGATTTTATGTTTACTTTATAGCCACTTCGTTGAAATTATGTATTTTCCGCGGAAACATAAAAATTTCCGAGAAGTGTGTATAATTTTTCAACCTTACAAAAGAATTTAAACTATTGATTTGTTCCAGGATACAAATTAAACCAGACTTCCAAAATTCCACAACGTACGGGTACGAAACCATCACTTTGCACCCCATAGAAGATTCAGACACTATAATTTTCCATGTGAATAAAATTGAAATATTAGAACCTTCTGTACAATTAGCAGATAGTTCAAACCCATCAGGTAAATGAAATAAACTTCCTTGAAACTTTGTTTTAATCAATAACTTATTTGTTTCAGAATCAATACAAGTAGCTTCCCAAGAATACCTAGAAGGAGAACGTTATAGAATAATCCTGAAGCAAAACCTACAAAAAAACAAAAATTACGTGCTAAATTTAGCCTTCAATGGAGAACTCAATAATCAGCTTCAAGGTTTTTACCGAAGCGAATATATCAGTCCATCGGGAGATAAAAGATTCGCTGCGAGCACCCAATTTTCGCCCACCGATGCCAGACGGGCATTCCCATGCTTTGACGATCCTTCGTTTAAAGCTAAATTCAAAATAAGATTAGCCAGACCTGCTAATATGTCTACATTGTCGAATATGCCTTTGAGCCAATCAGAATTATTTGAGTAAGTATTACACAATTACAATTACAGCAAGCACTATTAAGAGTCTGATCATTGGCAAAGATCAAAAGAGCCTTAACTTTGAATATTAGGAAGGATTATGCTGTGTAGCTCCATATACAAACTTAGTTTGAATAGAGCGTATTGCGCAAGTAGAAGTAATTTTTAAACAAGACAACTTTTATTTATAAATTTATTATGTAGACTTAGACTAAAGTTCAAACATATTATTGTTTATAGGACTCCTCAAGGTCCTTGGTATTGGGACGATTATCCAGAAACTCCAGAAATGTCAACTTACTTGGTTGCTTTCATAATAAGCGATTTGGTGCAACTCAATTCGAAGGATGACCTGATTAAAATATGGGCTAGAAGAGAGTTTTTGACTCAAACTGATTATGCTGGGAAAATTGCTCCTACCATTTTAAGGTATCTGGAAAATTATTTCAGAATTGGATTTCCACTGAAAAAAATCGACATTGTTGCAGTGCCTGAATTTGGATTTAGTGCTATGGAAAATTGGGGACTTATAACATTCAGGTAGCTCAATGCCATTTTTTTTTCTCAACAAATAAGTGTATTCTTTTATTTTTAGGGAAAGTTCTTTGCTGTTCGATAACTTCAGCTCTACTGTTGAAGATAAAAGAACCGTTGCGACAGTTTTATCTCACGAAATTGCCCATCAATGGTTTGGTAATCTTGTTACACCAAAATGGTGGAACGATTTATGGCTAAAAGAAGGTTTTGCTACTTATATTGAATACTTAGGAGTTGATCATGTAAGAACTAAATAATTATCAACTAAATATTTTATACTGGAAATAATTCTATAGGCTGAACCATCATGGAAAATCCTAGAAGAATTCTTACCAAGCGAAATCGAACGAGCAATGGCTTTTGACTCATTAGAATCTTCAAGGCCTATAAGTTTCGAAGTTCACAATAGCAGACAAATAAGACAAACCTTTGACGAAATCTCTTATGCCAAAGGTGCTTGTATCATTCGAATGATGAACCACTTTCTAGGAGAAGAAACTTTCAAGAATGGCTTGATTAAGTTTTTGGAAAAATATCAATACAGTAATGCTGACCGTAATGATTTATTTACAAGTCTTACTGAAGAAGCTCAATTAAGAGGCTCTTTAGGAAAAAATGAAACTGTAAAGCATATCATGGATACTTGGACAGAACAAGCTGGATTTCCTGTTATTAATGTTCGTGCCGACTATGAGAAAAACACTTTGAATCTTGTTCAAAAAAGATTCCTAATCACAAATCCAAACTCGCAAGATAAATCAACCTGGTGGGTGCCAATTTCCTATACATCCAGCCTGAATCCAGATTTCGAAAGCACCGCACCAAGATTCTGGATGAGAGGAGAAAGTGAGATTACGGAAAAAATTCGTCCTATCGGACAGTGGTATTTGTTGAACATAAATCAAACAGGATATTATATTGTGAATTATGACGAGCAAAACTGGAAACAACTAACTCAGCATATTATGGAGTTTCCTCCCTTGATTCGGGCCCAATTGATAAGTGATTCTATGGATTTGGCTAGGGCTAATCAATTGGATTATGAGATTCCTTTGAAATTGATTGCCAGGTAATTTTGTTTTAGTTTTATGTATTTTTTTTTTTTAAGTTTATTTTGTAGAATGGCGGTCCAAGATGTGAATATTATGTTTGTCCCCACAGCAGTGGCGTTCAACAAACTTAAATTCCTTAGCGATCTTTTGTACGATACTCCAGCTTTTGGATTATTTGAAGTAGGTATTGAATTTTGAGCAATATTTTTTATTGAATTATAATTCTCTCCAGGAATATCATAAAACAATTTTTAAAAATACGTATGATGTGGTCGATTTCAATGACAACATCGATGATTATTTGACTAGAAGAATACGCCAAGCTGTGTTGGAATGGTCTTGTAAAAGCTCTGAATCTAGATGTGTGCACGAATCCAGGACTTTGTTTAGGAATTGGATGATTAATGGCAGATCGTGAGTACCTATAATTGTTTATTATTAGAAGCTCTCTTCTCTTGACAATGTGAAAAAGATCTGAAAGATAAGTCTCATTTAATTTTTGTGACAATAATGCACACTTTGCGTATTTAGTAGTTTTGTGACTGTAGTAGCCAGCTTCACATTTTTGCAATCCAAAACTCACATAATACGTTTTGTTTTTTCTGAACAGAAATATTTAATATTTTACTCTATTGCCCTTTATTTTCCATAGGTCTTTTGATAATAGGAATCAAACAAGTGAGGAAAAGTAAGTTTATACCAAACTATTTCTCCCCATAAATCCTTATAATGTTTGTTGTGTTCAGTACTTTAATTCATAACAACTCCACTAGAGAAAGATTCTTTTTTGTTTTTCAACCAATTTTTACATCTTATACATCAAAATTTGAAACTTTCTTCCAAAGAAAAACATTTTCGAAACTCTCAGCGATAGGTATTAGGTATTACCTTAGATATTTGTTTAAAGTAAGTCTTTTGGCCATATAAAAACATAGTTCAGTAAGCAGGGAATGCAGGGTTTTTTTTCCAGGAAAAAAATTAAGAAGTTTTTTTCTCACCGGTTCTGTATGTTTTTTGGAGTGCTGAATCAGAATCTGAGGTTTGCCAACACGCCAGGCGTCAGCTTCGTAACGAAAATTGCGAAAAACTCTAAATTTTCGACACACATTTCTTTAATTTCCTCTAAAAAAAGTTGGAAACGTTATTCTAAGGTTTTAATAAAAGGAAACATATTATTTAGAAAAAATTAGTATTTACACTAAAAAAAAGCAAAAAAATTAGATAATTTCTATATTCATTCGTCGTCCTCATCTGCAGAATTATCACCTGGGACAAGGAGAATGGAGACTATTACCTGCATGAGGCTCAAGATTGCGTTCGCAGATATTCCGTTTAGATGAACCAGGCTGTATATGTCGAGCAACGTAAGATTTTTTTTTAACTCCTGTCCGGGCAGTGGACTGGTCTAATTTTTGGAGTTTGGGCGCTGGTTTTCCCACTGGAAAAAATATTATTATGACATTTTGATTTGTGAAGCTATAGTTTCTAATTTACAGTGATAAATACTAGATAAGGATAATAATTTCTTGTAATAGTATAAATTACCTTCGATCTTTTCAGGCGAAACGCCTTGATCGTCATCATCACTGAGTATTTTTATGTTGGAGCAGCTTCCTCCACAATTCAAACAAAGTCTGGAGCAGTGTAACCAAATTCTTCTACATCCGCAACTGCCCTTGCAGCCTTTCTGTGTAGGTGCCAGACAATGAGTTTCAGAAGCTTCTCTGGGGCTGGGGGCTAAAAGGTCGTGATGAGAATCAAGTTGCCTTTAATAATTTTCCATCCCCACTGCTCAGGTGGTTGAATATTTCCCAGCCACTGCTGTACTTGGTGAAATACTCTGCTACTAAGTTGCTGGGCTGCAGCTTTAGTAGAGGGGATGGATGCTACATTACCGCTAACCTTGAATGCTGATGACACATACTGTTTGTACCGCAGCTTATTTATTGAAGTGGTGCGATGTGGCAAGACGGTTTCTGAAACATCGGATGTAAACTGAGAGGTCAGGATAGCTTGTAAGGGTTTTCATAAACTATAAGTCTAAGAGCCAGCGCCGAAAAAATTATCTGAATTTACTAAAGCTAGTTTTTGGACAGTTGATTACCGTATTTACGTAAATAAACATACCGCAGTCAGTCAAGCGAAACTTGGGACAAAAGGTGTAGTGTTAAAGGTGTCGAGATAACTTGTGATGCAATGAATTTAAAGTCTGTTTTTTTTTTTTAAAGATAATTCCCCAAGTCAAAAATTTAGTAACTATGTTGGCAACACAAGCCCTTTCTACATAAAAAAATTGAAAGCATAGACAATTTTACATTGTATTGCCAACATAATGTCATTTTGACTTTTATCTTTAAAAAAAAAACAGATTTTACTAAAGCTGAAAATCGTTATACATATTATATCGGGTCTTCAAAAAAAAAACCAATCAAAGATTGCTATGGTTTTTTAAACGTATGTCTTAGCAAATTTTTTCTTTCATTTTGTCAATGAAACTAATGTCAAAATGGCATGTCAAAAATCGTGACCAATAAAGAAACAGTAATGCGACGTACGTTTTCGTAATCAAAGCAATCTTCGATTGGTTTTTTTTTTGAAGACCCGATATATATAACATATAAATAACAGTAGTGTTAGTCAGTCAGTTGAATAGCGGGACCGTGCTGGTCAGTCAGCCCCAATAAATGTAAAAATCTGCAAAAAATATTAATATTACTGAACAAACCTATTAATTTAAACTTCAACCTATTATTTTTTTTTACATAAATTGGGGCTGAACTACCTCAATGGGGCTGAATGACCGGCCCATTTCCGCTATTCAACTGACTGACAAATATCACTGTTATTTATGTGTTATATGTGTATAGCGATTTTCAGCCTTAGTAAATTCGTTGTATTACCTAAGCTAACTCGACAACTTTAACCAGACACCCTAGGTCCTTGTCCCAAGTTTCGCTTGACTGGCCGAAGTATGTTCATGTACGTAGATACTGTAATCAACTGACCAAAAACTGGCTTTAGTAAATTCAGAGAATTTTTTCGGCGCTGGCTCTCCGGCTATAGCCTTTCCCTTGTTTAAAAAGAGCAGATGTGGAGTCATAACCACTGACAGCATGTATGAATAGTATGTGTTTTGCCAGGCATTTCTCGATGGCGCTTGGAGGATAGTAAACAGGTAAAAGATTTTTGCCTTTGCCTGGTTTCAAAAAATATACATTGAAGACGTAATGCCTTATCATAATGACCAGGAGGTCTATATCCTCTCCAACAACTACAACAGTTTCGTGCTCTGCAGCAAGGGAATGGGCTGTTTGCACGATCAGAGTGTCTGTATCCTCTCTTTCTTGCTCAGTGTCACTTTGGAGGCACTGAATTTCTGTAGAAGCATGCTAATGAATCTGCATTTGTTGTTGGTATTAGGCAGAAATTTGTCTTGGGAGACTGTGGGCACCATTTTGTCATTGACTTGGATGTCAACTGACTGCGGCTTGGATCTTCTAGAGCGCTCCATTTGTTTAGTTCTTTTCTGCGCATCAGAGTAACCGTCGAAGACTTATGCTGCAGTTGCCGTATATTTTTTTGAAATATTCAACGTAGTGGAAACGGGCTCAGTTCGTCTGTCTAGAACTCCTCGGGTTCATCGTCTGACTCTTTAACAATACTCATGCGTTGAAATAGAGTATAGTTGGATTAACAACTAGAGTAGATTGATTATTAAAGCTTTCATGTTGGCAAGTGGTAACACCCTATCTTTACGCTCAAATTTAACTGACAGGAAATTGTTATTAACAATTGCCAACATTTTGTCAATACACTTATTTTTTCATCGCCCACGACCCCTGTGTTCAAGGAAATGAGCTCATCTGTCTTCGGGAACGGCGGGTGTTGGTGGAACCATTCCATAATTTTTTAAAGATCTATTTTGTCTCGGGCTCGTGAACATTCTTGAGTATCTATATATTTGTTGCTCTGATGATGCAAAATCAATTCCGCTGAATCCTGCCACAGCATCGCAAATATTTCTGTGCGTTGTCATTCCCAAAGTCCATCTTGACAGGATTGCGTCGCTGGTACCGCGACCGCTAGTGAGCCCTCCAGAATATTTCATATGTATCATGAGCTCTTGCTCTATGCGCATGTCACTCATCCATGTTCCACAACGAAACTTATGGCAATGTCTCTTATGGCTTCGCCGAATAGTGAACCCGCCTTGCAAAGTGAAAGCTTTTAATTCATTAGGGGGCGTAGTGTATTGTATAGCTCCAACATTTCCTGTAAATACAGGTGGCAGCACTTCGCATACAGAAAGTGCTCACTGGCATGGAAATAGGGGGAGCATGTCATGGATAGTTTCCCAGGTGTAAAGTCCAGTTGTCTGTTCTCTCTGCATCTATGAAATTTAAGATAAGTGTAACCATTTGAAAGTACTGACTCCACAACTTGGCAGTGGGCCCTAGGCCTGTGAGTTGGTTAAGCTTGTCTTCAACTTGTACTTGGACTGCTTAAGAATATAGAAACAACCCGGTACTTTTTAATTGTACTGGGTAAATTTCGAAATACCCGCGTACATGCGTTTATACTCAAATACATTTGTTATATCGGGGTATTTTCATTGTTTTCCAATACATTTGCAAGTAGCGAGTAAAATTATTGGACTCTAAGCTAAGTACATATTTATTCGGCCACGCAAGTATATTTCCAGACAAGTTGAGACCTCTGACATTATATTACGATACGACCAATTTTCAGGCATTTCTTGTTTAGCGTACAGATGCTTAGCATGCGTTCCGTTGATCGTTATGATTGACAATCGAAAATTTTGAACATTTCTGTGCACTGTGACACTGTATCTGTGGCCATACATTTGGAAATTCTGGACCCTTATAAACTCTGGACTCTGGCATTAACCAAAATGTATTTTTTAATTTTGGATGTGTAAGCATCTATACCGGCGGTTTGAGGATAAATTTCGGGAAATGGAACGGAAGTGTGAAAGGGGATGTGACGCCATAACCCATGTGCAGTAATAAGTGTGCAGCTACTGCAGTGCTTGATCAAGAACTTCAGAACAATGATCAAGGTTGTTTAAAAGCGGACGTTGCGTAATAACTTGAATGACGTCCTTGGTGTGGCATTAGAATGTATTCATAAATGTACTCAGTACTTTGAGTACTTGGGCATTGAATACTTGTAATTGTACTCTGTACTCGAGTAAATTTTGAGCTAAGTACTTGTACCCGACTACATTTTGCCTGTACTCGGAACAGCTCTGCTTGCAATAATTACCTCCCGTGCCTCCAGGAATCAGGTACAGTGGTTGATCGAATGTGACGAAAGTGGTTTGTTGGTTAAATGATTTTGATGTTTCAACACTATTCAGTATAGCAGTGTAGACTGTATTATAATAGTCACTTGGTGGTGAATTGATGAATGGCTAGCAACCAATATATATGATTATATGTGATGTCTTGTGGTTTGTTCCTTGTTACGTTTTCCACAAAACCCATTCTACCGACCAATGCCCAAGAAATTCATAGGTATTCCGTATAGCCACAAGTGTAGTGCAGAGGGGGTGACTACGCGTTTGGGCCTGAAATTTGGAATTAGAGGATTGATTTTGTAGCAAAACGCGCCCAAGTACTCTATTTAATTAGTTAGATGGTAAATGGCGAGCGGTATATTGATGGT